GTTTTTTTTTTTTATTTTTTTTGGTATTTTTATCGATTTTTTTGCTAGTTGAATGGATATAAATAATGAGAAAAAGAAAAAAAAAATCGTGCAGGGCGTGTCTAACTCGTTGCACGTGCTCGTTCGTGAGCTTCTTTCGGACAAAAGCAGAGAAGAAATTCCTTTAGTGAGTAAAATCCCTTTTTATGTTCATCATGTTTAAATTTAATGCTATTTTGCACTTTCTAATATGTTTGTAATAACGAATATGGAGTAATTAATCTGCCATTTGTTTTTTTCATTCTGAAATAATGTTGATCGGTTGCGTACGTTTGGCAGATTGTAGAGAGTATGTTGAGTAAAGTTATGGAAGAAATCGCGCACAAGGTTTCAATCCGAAACGAAGTAGTAAGCGAAAAAAGTTCCTTCAAATGAGCTGACCCTTTAATTTAATTTCAACTTTAAATATTTTTCTTTTCGCGTGATTTGGATAGATTCAAATGGCTCCATGGGTTATTAAGGATGTCCCGAGTTCAAATGGGACCGAAGAAATGGAGGTTGGAGTGCATTATAAATTAGTCAATTTTGAAGTTTATTTGAACTTTGTATATAGAGTTATAGTTTCAAGAGATACTGCATTGAAATAACTAACATTTAGCGGGTTTTTATGCAATTAAAGGATGCAAAGATAACTCCAAACGAGGAGTGCTCGAAAAACATTACGCAGACTGATTTTCGAGACAGTGAAGCATCGGAAAACCATTCTGTGAGGTATTCGGATTTTGTTGAGCACCAAGAGAGAAGTGTGCAGGTCCATAGCCCGTTTTAATCCGAATTTGACGAGTAAAATTTATCCTTTTATATATATATATATGAATTTCCAATTCGTCAAAATTGTAGGAATTGAAGAATTTGCTTCATACCACGAAACAAGACATGAAGCTTCTCCAAATGAAGTATCAAGACGAAGTTGATAATCTCGGTATGAAACTTGGATTCAAATTAAAATGTAATGTGAAATATAATTAATTACATTTGATTTGGACAATGTTTAGGTAAGCACTTGAATACCCTGGCTATTGCTGCTAACGGATACAAAAAGGTCCTTGAGGAGAATCGCAGATTATACAATCAAGTACAGGATCTCAAAGGTAAAACAAAAGTAAAAATAAAAAGTCTTGATATTCTTTATTACTGCTAACTAACAGTTAGAGAGTGGCATTTCATGTATAGACATATTATGTTTTTATGACAATGTTTGTGAATAGGGAATATAAGAGTTTATTGCCGAGTTCGTCCTTTTCTGCCGGGACAGGCAAATGGTTCTTGTGCTGTTGAAGATATTAGTGATAACTCTCTCGCGATCGTAATTCCTTCCAAAAACGGAAAAACGAAAAAGTCATTCACGTTCAACAAGTGTTTCGGTCCATGTTCAAGTCAAGGTAGAAATTTCTTTCTTTTTTTTTTTTTCAAGTAAAGGTAAAAATCCTTCACTTCAATTTCTTTTGAACTCCACATTTTCATCTTCACTCTTTCAACTTTCTGCAGAAGAAGTATTTGCTGACACACAGCCATTGATTAGATCTGTTCTTGATGGCTACAATGTCTGCATATTTGCTTACGGTCAAACCGGGTCGGGAAAAACCTTTACCATGGTAATTATTATTATTATTATTATGGTCTTTATGATGTTTTGTTGTTTCTTATTTTAACTTTTCAACTGTGTCCTTGTTATAAAACAAAACAGACAGGACCAGAGGAACTTACAAAAGAGACGTTGGGAGTGAACTACCGAGCATTGAGTGATTTGTTCCAAATATCCGAACAGAGGAAAGACATCATTGCTTACGACATATCGGTTCAAATGACGGAAATATACAACGAGCAGGTCCGGGACCTACTCGCTACAGATGGCGGCAATAAGAAATATCCTTTTTTCGTAAATCGAACTTTAGCTAAAAGAGAAACAATAGAATGTCTTTGAACTACTTTTACGAGTGTGAGCGTATTTGGTAAGCACCATATGTTAGCTTTTAGCTTATTTGGTTAGCCTACAACTTTTTATATTCAAATAAGGTAGATTTGGTAGGACAAAAACTCGAACTTATCTCATAAACTTATTTGAGTAGCTTTTTAAATAAGTCTGTTAGAAATATATGTTTCAGCTGCCTTATTAGCAAAGTTTATCAAAACACTTTTAACATATAAGTTAGTTTTCAGCCATAAGTCATAAGTTATCGACTATAAGCTCGAAATTCACTTACCAGCTATAAGCTATCAGCTAGGTTTACCAAACATAGCCTCAGCTCACATTTTTTTCAACATTTCTCTCTCTTTTTTTGTTCATTTTCCTTAACCTCGTTAACACATTGGAGATTCGTAACAACTGCTCCAACGGCATTAACGTGCCGAACGCGAATCTTGTGCCCGTCGCATCAACTTACGATGTCATCAACTTGATGAACCTCGGCCACAAGAACCGTGCCGTGGGATCCACACTCATGAATGATAGAAGTAGTCGTTCACATAGGTATATATATACAAATACAAGAATTTCGACTATTCGATTATGTCATCACTATTGAAACTCGAGTAATATTTTCATTTTTTTCTTTTCTTTTTTCTTCGACAATGTTTCGACAGTTGTCTCACGGTTCATGTACAAGGCCGAGACCTAACATCCGGAGCAATCCTTCGCGGGTGCATGCATTTGGTCGACCTTGCGGGAAGTGAAAGGCTCGACAAAACCGAGGCGATTGGGGACCGGTTAAAGGAGGCTCAACATATAAACCGATCCCTTTCGGCTTTAGGAGACGTCATATCATCTCTCGCCTTAAAACAATCTCACATCCCGTATAGAAACAGCAAGCTCACGCAATTGCTTCAAGATTCGCTCGGTAANAAAAAAAAAAAAAAAAAGATTTAAATATGTTATTAGGCGAAACGAATGCATTAAATCATCATTTGAGTTGCGTTTCGTTTTGTAACTTGTTAGGAGGCAAAGCCAAGACACTAATGTTTGTTCACATTAGTCCTGAGCCGGATGCACTTGGGGAGACGATTAGTACACTTAAATTTGCCGAACGTGTCTCCACAGTCGAGCTTGGAGCCGCCAAAATAAATCGAGAAGGTGTTGATGTCAAGGAACTAAAAGAACAGGCAAATAAATTCTTTATATATATATATTTTTTCCTTCTCTTATGATTCGTATCGGTTTTTATATATATAAAAGTACATGGCAATGCTCGTGCAGGTATCGAGTCTTAAAGCGGCTTTAGCAAGGAAAGAAGGAGATTCGGGGCTCGATAGGCAGGGGATCAAGTCCTCTGGCTCCTCTCCATCTCATTTCTCTTGGGATAGTGTAGATAATGATGCCTGCAAAACAGAGGTACTTAGAAGAAAAAAAGTACCCACCTTATAAGCTATTGCATATGTACAATACAAAGTTTGAAGGATACTTGAAAGTTGAATCTTGAAACTCAATCAGGAAAACAAAAGATGATATTTTTCGGCAATTTTTTGGGTGGTAATATCATTAATGGCGAAGTAGCTTTGAAAAAAGATAAAAAAAAAAATAGCCACTTTTTTTGTAGAAATATGAAATAATAGTCATTTTACACTATGAAATAACACAATTACTCTTACTATCAAGAAAATTCAATTTTTTGTAGTAAGAATAATTGTGTCATTTCACATGTAAAATGACTTTTGTTTACAATTCTACAAAAATTAATTAAATTTCATCTGTCTATTTGCTACTTGGCTATAAAACCAATGGAATGATTTTTGGATGTAGGAGCAAACCAACTCTTCGTCGACATCAAGGAGGCAGAGCCTTGACCTGTTGGCCAATTCGGCCGATTGGCCACCGCTTATTGGGAGCCTCGAGGAGAAAGTGGAGTCGCCCGATGAGTTCTATCAAAAGAGCAGCAGGATGGCCCGGCCCGAAAAGGGCCCGGTTAGTAGGAGGCACAGCTTGGACAATGGGCTCGGCCGGGTGGCCCATGAGTACGAGTCGGCCCAAATGGACGATAATAGTGACTCGTCGGAGGCTGATTACAGTATCCGTAAGTGCAATAGCATGCCGAATGTGGTGGGCCCGAAGGCCAGCCCGAAACCGACCAAGGGAAGCCAGGAAGTGAGGTGATTTGTTTTGCTTATAGATAAAAGCTACTTTGACATAATTTTTTGACATATTAATTGTTGATTTTAAAGTGGTAATATTAGTAAAAATAGTCATCTCATATGGTCACCTTTTGTGGAAATATGAATGCTACCCATTTTGCTCTTTCACCAAAATAAACTCTCCATACTTTTTCTAACCATCTCTACAGTTCCATAAATTATTTCTAGTACTTTCGAGAACATTTAAATAATATCTTGAATTTTATACGTATCTTTTGAGATTTCAAAACTGGTTTGATCAAGAACACATAAACAGTGTCTTGCATTTACAGTTGATTTTTGGAATTCTAGAAATGGTTTCTGAGTGTAAAAAATTATAAATTATTTTTCATTGAAAATTCTATAGTAAATGTAATTATGTCATTGCAAAGAACAAAGTGATTATTTTTCATACTTCCACAACAAGTGGTTATATTTCATCTTTATATTTGCTACTTGGCTATAAAACCAAGACATTGGATTTTAAAAGTAACATGATGTGTGAAGTAAAAAGAATCATAACACTCGTGTTATTAAAACTATATGTCGTCCCTTTATGTCACTGTAGAATGATCGGTTTGCTTATATTTTTTCTATTTTGAATTGAAATATTTAGGAGCCAAATCCCACAACCGATTAGGAGGGTTTCGAACGGCATTCAAGCTACGTCGGCAAAAAGCGGGAGGCAACTGGTTTATGCGGTCGGGAAGCGAAAACCAACTAACGGGAAGTGAAGAACATTTTTGAGAGACTGGATATGATTTTTAAGTTGTCTTTTAGTTTCTTGTTCATGTTTCTTTCTCTAATATATACGGGAAATTTGATGTTTATCATAGATTTTTTTCATATCCCATTACTAAGGGTGGTGATATATGTGTGTAGTAGTTTAAGTTCAGTTGAGAGT